GCGCAAAATGCTGAACTTCACAATGTGTTACTCTTGTGTAAGCAAAAGTGCCGCCCCCAAAGTCCTCCCCAGCCCTTTTTCCCGCACAGTGTTTCTGCTGGCCCAGTTTGGTTCCTGTTCCTCAGAGCCTCTCCAGTGATGGGAAGAGTAACCCTGATCCATCCACGTTGGCCTGCTTGAGAAATGTGGCCCGAGAACATAGTATTGGGGGCTTCAACTGTCCTGGAGGTTTCTTTTCCCACCCAGATTGGGGGACGGTAAAGGGCAGGCGGGCTCCTGAAACCCAGGAGGTCCTTTTGAAGTTGTCGGCGCTGAAGGGGAATCCGTGGGCCGCAACACAGCTTCCACCATTCCCACAGGCAAGTGTGAATCACTTAGGCGAGTTAGCAAGAACTGCAGATCACTCAGATTTGCTGGAGAAAGTAAGAAGCCGTGCCAAGGACTCCAGTGATTCTAGAAGAAACCTTACAGAGAGAATCAAATCTTCAAAGTTTGAGTCTCCTGGCATCTCAGTTTTCTTCTTTGAGGTGGATTAGTTCATCCCCATCTTTCTTTGTTTTTACAACCATGCGGTCTGCTGTGCAGTTGTTTTTTCCTGACTGTGCAAGAACTAACTCATAGCTGCTCTGGCCATTCCTTTGCCAGGAGCAAAATAAAAATGCATCGGAGCCAAAATCTCAGAGGGGCCTGCAGGTCTGACTGAGCAGGCTCCGTTTGCTGCATCTCAACAGGGTTTGACCAGATGCTTCTTGATGTTAGAAGATCTTTAGCCCTTCCAGAAGTAATTGTGCCCATATTGCACCTCCTGGAATTTCCATCCAGGACAATTTAGTGGATGGATGGTGGTTCCCCCCGCAAAAGCAGGAGTAGTCATAGTCCTTGGCAACTTCTCTGCATATTATTTCTCTATCCAAAACCAATGGTTGGGTTTCCACATTACGTGAACTGCGGCTCATTTGACCACAGCAGGCCAACTTTGTACAACACACTCAATGCTAAATCATGGCCCGTAAACACAGTGGCTGGAGTTCACCCAACATGTCAAACCAAGCCAGAAATGCATGCTTTGTGAAGCAGGCCAGAATTGCAATAGTGCGTCTGGTTAAGATTACACAAACTGCAAAATTTGGCTAATGTTAACCTTGGTTGTTGTTACGTTTGCTGAATTCACCCCCTCTGGTTGGTTTATGGTTTCAATGTAGTGGGGGAACCCTGAGAACAGGTTAATTCGGTGAGCAAGGGAACCCTGTTGTAGGAACGCAGCCGGGGGTTGTTCTGTGTTATGAGCAAACTGAAGACAACTGATGGCCAGGAGAGATAGTTTAGCAAGCCCCACATAAGGACTTTAAAACCCAACTGTGCAAAAATTGGGTTACGCAACTGATGGAGATTTTGGACACCCGTCTCCTCACCAAACCTTAGGAAGGCTGTTAGAAAATAAGAAAGTCTGCACTTCAGGGTACAAGGGGATATATTAATTCAGGGTTGGGAATAGCTCAGTTGTTGGAGTTCTTGCAGTGCAGATAATGAGAAGGTTGTGCACTCCCCCAAACACCTGTTTCTCTCCCTGGCATCTGATGCTTTTAATTCCGTTATTATCCTGGGTGTTTTTCCAGCCTAACCAGCATTTTCTCCTATTCCTTTGAAGCAAAAGGCGTGGGATTGTGTTAGGCCTGGGGGATGATCTTGGACAAGGCTCGGATTTAAATAAGGCGCATGCAACAAGACGCCAGCTGCTTGCCAGCCAAGCGGTCCTTGGTTCTTTGCAAACAGGTGGGCTCAAGCCAAAAAAAAATTGCTCAGTTTGGTTTCTTCCTCCCACCCTGATTTTTTTTTTTTTTTTAACTTGCTCTTGCTTCCTCAGATTGTAAAGGTTTAGAAATTGGGTCACAAGCCTGTTGAGACAATAGGTCTATTTACAGGGATTAAACAGACAAACTGGTTTTTTGAGCCAGCTAAAAGAAAGATGCCCGTCTCTCACCAGCTTGAAGCTGTCCTTGCCAGCTCTTTGATCTCAGTTGGGGTGCATTCTTGACCCATTTCTAGTCACACGATGGCGGGATTGTTCTGTAGCCTCCTAAATTCAACCCAAGGATTACAAATGACGTCTCGAAGAGGAAAGAGGGTGCCTGATTTGACACAGATCGCTATTGATTTTTCTTCTACTGAAGTTTGTATGGAAACTTTGCATTCATAAGGCTGAAATGACTTCTCATGATTTATTTATTTAGTTTTTCTTTTTTTTAAAAGCGTTGAGGCTGGCAAGAAACACATGTTTGCTTTCCTGTTCTTGCGTGGAGTTGTGATAGATGTAAGACCCTGCAGGGGGGCTGAAGAGATGACTGGAGCTTTGTTGTTGGCATTCATCCCCCCCCCAAACATGTGGGCTAGCCACCATATTTGTTCCCCACTGATAATAGTTATCTTTCACTCCCAGAAACTTTTGTGGCCAGCCTAAGATTGAGTTTTGAGTTCTGCCAACAATCATGCTTCCCTCAGCCCCCCAGGAAGGTTCTGTTGTTGAGAGTGTTAATGGCAACTGGAAGCTGAAGGCTTCCGACAGATGACAAAATATATTCCATTGGTTGAGAGCAAGAAAATTTGGCTTTCTGGATGTTGAGAACTACAACTCCCAACAGCCCCAGCCCAAACTCTGAATGAGAATGAGACTTGGCACCCACTCTTTTATTAGTGTTGGTATCTGTACTTTGGGGAGTTCATAGTTCCTGTTGACTTGCTGTAAAGCTCACATGAACCCTTTTGAGATAATGCATTATTATCCCCGTATTTGCAGATCCAAAGGGCTGAGATTGGCTTCAGTCCTCTTGGGGGCTTCTGGGTGGGCCTTCTCTCTCTCTAAGCCCCCAAGGTCACCTTTGGGTACACATCCAGTTGAGGGTAAGCCCTGTGGAAACCAGGAGGTCTTCAGGTGCAGGTGTGCTGTGAATTCAAACTGGTTTTGGCTCCCGCAGGCTCAAAAGGGTTCAGTCTCCCTCTTGCAAATTTGAGCCTGTAAGAAGAGCGTGATGGAGAACGCAGGGCTTTTTAAGAAAGTAGAGATCTCCAGGAACGAGCGGTGGGCCTCTCTGCTCTTTGGGATTACATTTAGCGCCATAACAGCGTGGGCCCTGTGACGTTTCCGGCTTCCGCCTCGGGAGGGGACCTTCTCAGCTTCTCCTTCTTTTGGCCGGAGGCCCAAACTCTGCAAACACAGGGTGGGGAGGGAGGAACTGCCAAGGTGGCTCAGCGGAGCCCGCACGGGTGATGCAACCGCGCCTCTCTGTTGCCTGAGCCAACGGCCAGGAACGGAAGGCGGGCGGTGAGTCAACCCATCCATTCACTCGAGAAGCAGCAGAGGAGGAAGCTGCTGTGCCGTTTCCTCCATCCACCTCACAGATACCACAGATTGCATCAGAAAGGTCCTTTCAAGAACGTGCCCGAGCAAAGAAGGATGCAGCGTGTCTCCGTTTTGGAGCTCATCCTCGTCTGTGGCTCACCCTGGGTGCTTAGCACGGAGAGTGCTTGGTGCTGGACACAGAACAGTGGCTCACAATTGTTCTGGAACAGGGCGTCAGAGAAAGCCCAATTTATTTAATAACTGAATCAGTCCAGGGGATCTGGTCCTTTGCCCAGGGCCTTAAAAGGCTGCATTAGAGATACAATCAAGGGTGGCAGGGGAAGTTGAAGCCATAATGGGCAGACTGGTACATCTGGGGCTGCAGTGTGGAAATAAGCCCCCCACCTCTATTTTTTTCTTAAAATGGGGGTGCTGCCTTTTTTTTAATTGTCTCCTCTAAAGCAAATTACGACCTGATTTGAAACGGGAATAAATGAAAGCACCCAGCATCTCCTGGATGGAGAAGAAAAGAGGTTTCTAGCTTTAAGGGCAAGACAGTCCTTTGGTTTAGCTGAGAAGAGAAAGGCATGGTCCAGTCTCTGCAGATGGGAGAGTTCATGCTCTTCCAGCTGGCTCCACAGAGAAAACAGATGTAGAAGAGACGTCCATCCATCCATCCATCCATCCATCCATCCATCCATCTCTCATTCATTCATGTGTGTGGGTATACACATAGACACATTGTAGGAGGAGGGATGTGGTAGACTACGGTGGCAAAAAGGAGACTCTGGTAGCATCTTTTCCAGCTGACTCATTTTGTTCAAAGGCAGAAGCTCATAAAAGTTAGCTTGGCCAGAAAAGGTGCTACCAGAC